AAAAAAAAAAAAAAATTACAACAATATTATCATTAACTGCAATAAATCCTGGAACCATTTATCATCCAGCAGAGTTTATGATTATTTATTGAATAACTTGAGAAAAACTGATAAAAAACTGATAACTTTAAGAAAACTTGAGATAATGTCAGTGAATGTGAAGCAGAAAGCGGTTAGAACAGCCAGAGGGTTTTATTTCTAATTATTTGTGGTAAAAACTCAGTGAAATGTTTTTATTTGTGGTAAAAACTCAGTGAAATGCTTTTATTTGTGGTAAATCTCCACTTGCCCGTATTTGTCGGCCAGCTCCTTGGCCTGTTTCTCCTGAACTTCCCGCTGGTCGGCCAGGTCCGCCTTGTTCCCGACCAGAACGATGTCCGGGTTCTCGCAGTAGGCGTTGGCCTGCAGCTGGCCTGCGGTTCGGTTGCCACGGCAACCAGGCGGCGCAGCAGAGGACAGAGAAACGTGACGTTTATTCAGATGTAGCAGCAGCAAAGTGACGAGCAACTGGCGACAAATCCGATTCATCAATCGAATTTTTTAAGTTTTGAAAAAAAAAAAAAAAATCAGGATTTTTTTCACCAATTTGCTTTTTGGGTTTTGATTCTGCAGAGCCAACGGCGGCCATCTTGGTTTACAGACGTTTTTTTACAGCTTCTGTTTGTTTAGATTTTGAATTATTCTCAAAATACAAAACCAGGCAAAGATGTTCCTATTTTTATTCACAGAAATAAGTCGAAATAAATCCAGAATAAAGTTATGATGTTACCTGAACAATGTAATGATTTTATATCTGTGAAAAATAACAAAAAGTTAAAATTAGGAATGTTGAGCGTTTTCTGACGTCATACTTTATCACTTCCTGATAAATCAAAAGGTTTTTTTTTATCATTAAACGACTTTTTGTAATTTTTTCCTTTAGTAAAATTCTTTTTCTGCTAATATTACATATATTTTCCCAGAATTAAACAAAAGTCCTTACAGTCAACTAACTGAACCTTTTCAAAAATATTTTCTGGAAAAAAAAAATTAATTTATAAATTTAATTTGGTTTGAAAAAATTGGAGATTTTATTTTTAAGCCACGTCGCCCAGAACTACAAGCAACGGAGGAATTTAGATTCATACAAAAATAAAAGTTTGATAAATTTAAAGAAGTAAAATAACAACAAAATCACAACATGAAATATCACAAACTGACCCAAAGAAATGTGAGACTGAATTATATAAAGCAGGGGTCACCAACTTCTAGATTCACCTCTGCTCCAAAATGTCTGAATTCCCTCACCAGCATTCATTCCTCTCTGCAATAGGCTGGAAACGAGAAGTTTATTTGATCCAGGTGTGTTTGAGCAGATCTAAAAGTTACAGGATGGAGGACCTGGAGGACTGGAGTTGGTGACCCCTGATATAAAGGATGTAGAAAATGTTCATGTGTACAATAAGTGAAAATTAAACTGTAAATACCAGCAAGGATGTGAATATTTATGGAGTTTATGTGAGCAGTGATGGTTCTGGAGGAAGGATCTGTGTTTACGCTGCTTTGTGCACCGAGGATGCAGCAGATTTTACTTTAGTCCTCCTGTTTCCTTCCACCTGAATAAATACATTAACTAGAACACAAACTGAGTAAAACTGTCTTAAAATAGATTTATAAAAATATTTACAGGATATTCCTGAACTGAAATATTAAACCTCTGGTGTGTTTTCAGCTCTGCTGGGTCAGATCCTTCAAACAGATGAATATTTCGTACTCATCCAGTTGCGAACGTTGAGGAAGCTCTGCTGGCTGGTCAGGTCGAACATCAGCAGGAAGCCCATGGCGTCCCTGAAGAACGCCGTGGTCAGGCTGCGGAACCTGCAGCACAAAGTCAGGACGGGCAGACATGATGCTAGATGGCTTATTAAAGCTGCAGCACAAAACTTTTATAAAAATATATATAGATTTATAACATATTAGTTAAAACTGTCACCATGTTGTGACAGTTTGTTATGAGACAGATAAAACTTTTTTCTCCCTGAGCTGCTGCTGCCGTCTGGAAAATCCACCAAAAACAACCAATCAGAACCAAGAGGCGGAGCTTAGCGCTGTCAATCACCCTAGTGTACTAGCTGCTAAATGTGCAACTGGTGGAGAAACAACTTACCATTATAAAAAAAAAAACATTAATCCGCTGTCATCGGTGGCTATGCTAACTAGCCTTAGCATCCACAGCATGCTACGCTAGCTGCACGTAGCAGAGAGAAAGGTGGGTTAGTGATCGACAGCGCTAAGACCCGCCTCCTGGCTCTGATTGGTTGTTTCTAGAACAGGGTGAAAACAGAGGATCAATATTTTTACAGATTGTGTTTTTAGAAACTCAATAAAAATGCAAAATATGTATTTTAAGAGTTGCTGCAGATTTAGAGGTGGAATAAATTCCTTTTACTGAAATTTTGCGGTTCTTCAGACGTTCTTCTGTACTAAATCTTTTTCTGGTTAAACTGTTTGAGTTCGGTTCTCTGAATCTTTATTTTTGCGTATTAAACGTGTTGAATCTTCCAGGCCAACGTTTGTCTGGTTCGGACCAGAACCGGCTGATCCTGGTGACTCACTGCTGCATTAGTCATCCCTCAGTCCAACAGAACCGCAGCTGTGGAGGAGAGCAGGGAGCAGCGCGACAACCGGGAGGGTCAAAGGTCATTTAAACCAACACAACATATTATATATATTTCTAAAGTTGTATAAAAGGCTGATTCTCTTCAGAGCTTCAGAAAGGCTATTTTTTAAATCCAATCAGTGTAATAATCATCAGACAAGTTGATTAATTGTCAGGATAATCAATTAATCAGAAAGTTCCAGACCTACAGAGAGCTGAAGATAAAATCAGATTCTGATCCGATTTCAGTCAGTTCATTTAATTTGGATCATATTAATGAGAAATCTGCCCCCTAGTGGTGGAAAACCAGATTTATTTACAGCTTTTGGTGATCCATCCCTCCATCCCTCCATCCCTCCCCCCCTCCCTCCATCTCTCCATCCCTCCCCCCCCTCCCTCCATCTCTCCATCC